CGGAAAAAAAATTAAAGAATGTCAAAATCAGGTCTAGAAATCAAACAAAGGGAGCAATACCAACACTGTCTTAATTTCCAACAGGACCAACACAAAAAACAGGAGCTTCAGGCTATACACTATTTAAAAACTGGCAGCACCACAGCAGCAAATTGGCAGGATACATGGCATACTACATGTTTTGAGAGGAAAAAAGAAGAAACGTATATTCACAAGACACCTAGCTGGCGCTGTATACTACAAAAAATCATCAGAAAGTATCGGATAAAACACACATCTATACGAAATTTAGTGGCCTTCTTCTCAACGGAAGTAAGGTAATTTTTGTTTCGGTTAATACAAATCAAGGCAGTCAAGGAACTTGACCAGACAGTGAGGTAATCAATCATCAGTTCACATTGCACTAACTTCAAATCAACAAGAAAATAAACCTTGACGCTCTATAAGTCATCTCAGAGCTACATGTTTATCGCTTCTCTTCATTTGCTAAATTTTAGGAGCATTCAATTGAAATTTCCCAACTCTCCATTATTTTCCTACATTTTCCACAAACCAAACAGGTTTATATCACTCCAAACTGATCACCACAGCTTAAATTTCCCTTGTATACTTAATTTAGTTTTTTTTTTAAAAAAAGAGGGGAAAAGTAAGGAAAAGAACTCACCAAAGAACTGATTGTGAGTAGCTGTATTTGTTCTATGTGATGTTGAAGGCTCCATGTCCCTTGAACTTGAGCTCCGAATCGCCATTCTCTGTAGTGCTCCTATCCTGCCTTTGCGCTAGGGTTTATATACAAAGAGAACTGGGTGGTAATACACAGTTTTAAACATATACAAAGAGCGTGCTGGGCCTTTGTTGGCTTTGGCGGGTTGGTCAACAGAGCGGTCAGCGTCGATGAGATCTTTTGTGGGAATGAGAGAAAAAAATAAATAAATAAAAATAAAAATATTTATATAAAAATATTTATATAAAAATATAAATTATTTTTATTTAAAATTATTTTCACAAACCACAAAAAATATATGTGAATTTTGAGCTCAACAAGCCACAGAAATATAATCAACTTAAAATATTAAAAACTATTTCACAAATCTTTGGTTTTACCCCAGAAATATATGTATATATATATAATTAATTAATTTTTATCAAACATTTATTAACAAAGTTTTTAGATCTACTTGCATGATTATTAATTCGTGTGGTGCATATATACTTAGTATATTTTTCTAATTAGTTTATCAAAATTTTAAATTGATTAATATAATTTATAAAGTGACACATTTCTATTATGCTACTTCCGAAAATGTTGTATGATATTAATATATACACATTATTCAAAATAATTTTTTCACTACTCTCTCTCTCTCTATATATATATATATATAACTATAAATTCATTTATTTCCCTAAAATTACAAGATATAATCTTTATAAGCTTTCTGCTTTTGGAATATATTTTAATTCATCTAACATTCTATTACATACGGTCTCATAAATTAAAAGAAAATGTATATATTTATTCTAAGTGCGAGAGCGAAGTAAAATAGATTATGATTAATATCTTTTACACAATAATCAAAACGTATTAAGGATATAAAAAAATAAACTAACTAAAGAAAATATTATGAATGAATACTATAAGGAAAACTAATAAATTTTTAGGCTTCTACTCACCGTCTTTTTGCGGAACGGGGTATGGAACTAAGTCATCCTGATCTGAAATGGTTAAGTAAGGAATGAGCTACACTATCCCAGTAAAAATGTCACACTATTTCACTGTCACAGTAGTAAATGTTGGTAGAAAACAAAAACGACAAATGGAACATAATTCATAACAAATTCATTTGTCAATAATAAACCATTTACTGTCCACTTAACTCGATGAGATTCATGAAAACAATTTATGAAAATAATAACATTATAAACATCATAAGATCATGCACACTCTGTAACATACACATATCATACTTTTGTATTTTAATAATCAGACGACAAATTTTATCTTTTATTAGGTTACTAGTATCCATGGGGATCTATAGGGGTCCCCGCTACACGTGAACCATTCACCTTAATTCTAAGGCCGTCCCCATACCCCGTCCGGTATGAGCGCCAAAACCATAAACCTCAATACCCCGTCCAGTATGAGCCTCAAAATATTTAAGGTCTCCATACCCCGTCCGATATGGGAGACCACGTTCCCAGTAAGGTTTCCTATGGACCCGGTCCGTCTACCATCTCCCAGGATATCTAGTGAGGCTGTCTACTTATCTATTTATAAATTCACATACCTTTTTTATTTTTTTTAGTCTCAATTACCCAATCAACATGAATACATAAACCAGTAACGCACACCAAATAAGGCAACACAGCATCAGGTTCACAATAATTTAAACCATAATAGATTAAACAGTGATTCATGCATACGAAACTACAGAATAAACAATCAAATACTATACTGCATTTAGACTGTAAAATACATCAAACAGGAATAGACCAACAAATACATTAGGTTCGGATCCCATTAGCAATCTTAATTAATTATACATATCTATTAATTCATAAAATACCGTTTTATCATTTATTAAACTTTAATACCGTGATAGAAAATAGGGTGAGAGATCCTTACTTACTTCGGAGTCTGAAATCGGGTTCTCACTGTGCCTACGAGCAGTCTCTAAATTCCCTGAATTTGTTTTCGAAAACTAAAATACACTTCCGGTACCTGCACATGTCCCCAAAATATTCCAAATTAGACTCAGGGACTATTCGGCCAATTTTGAAATTTTGGCACGGCAGCCCCCCGCCTTGTTACGGCGACAGTGTCGTCGCCCACGGCGGCTATCCACATCAGGTTGGTCGTTTCTGACCGTTTTCGGCTGAATTCAGCAAAACTTGTATTGATTCCTGTGATAAAACACCCCTAGGGCCCTCGGTGGGCAAAAAAAAAATCCAGAAAATCAAGACTTACCAGTGGCGAAGCTCTCGGGTACGGCGGCTTCTCCGGCGAGTCGCGGTTTTGTGTTTTACTCTGGTCAACCTGTAGAGGAAAGGAGGGTGGTCACAGTGGTGTAAAAATTACATCGAACAGGAATCGGGAAGGGTCTCATTGAAGGCAAAAATCGAGGAAACCCGCGGCGGCGCCATTGGGCTTCGGTGGTATTTTTCGGCCAATTGGCCGGTGGTTTGGCTACAGATGGGTTCAGCATCAAAAACCAAGCCAATTGGAGAAATTTTACCTCATTTGGCGGCCGAAAGGTGCTCCGGTGCGGCGGCGGGTGGCAGCGGTCGGTTCCTCCGGTGGCTGGGTTGTCTTCCCAGCGAGGATTCTGACGGCTAGAGTTTGGGGTTGTATGTGGATTAAATTATTTATAAACCTCCCCTTTTAATATGAGCCGTCCATTATGATTTAATCTGAGCCATCCGATCGCGATTAAATTAGAAATGAATCTAGGCCGTCCGCACGGGTGCAATCTGGACCGTCCGTGCGCGCGTTTGATCTGGGCCGTCCGTGCGTGCGTGAACGGATCTCAGCCGTCCGATTGTGCGCACGCGGATCGCCCACGTGGCCCGTTCCGCGTGGCCTTCTTGCGTCAGCATCTCTGCCATGCAGCGTATCCTGGTTGGCCGAAGCTGCTGACCGGGCTGCTGACGTGGCGTAATTTTTCTAAATTACGTTTTGACCCCAATTTTTGATTTTTTTTTAAAACACCCCCAGAATTTAAATTTTCATCCATTTTTCTCAAAATCATTTTCAATTAAATCTAAAAAATAATTTTACCCCTTTTTATCATTATTATTATTTTATTTCTATTAAATTAAATTAAATTAGATTAAAACCATATAATTATTACCTAATAAATTAATTATTAAAATAAAATAAAATCAAAATAATTTCAATAATAATAAAAATGAAAATTTGGGTGTTACAACTCTCCCCCCTTAAAAAAATTTGGTCCCCCCAATTTGTCTCTTACTCTTAATCGAACAAATGAGGATATTGGACTCTAAAGTTTGATTTTATCTCCTAGGTAGCCTCCCTTGGCGTGTGGTTCTGCTACACAGCCTTTACAAATGATATTTTCCAGTTGTGGAGTATTCTGCTATTTGATGGTTTCAAAACGCAGGCAAAGTGAGGTCATACAACAAGTTCGACTTTAGGACCTGAAGAGAGTTGCATGTTTGGACTGTCTGACCGTGCAGCCCGAATTAATACAGAGAATAAGGGAAGGCCAGTCAGTCGACCCTACCCTAATAGCCCGCAAGAATGATGCAAAACAGGGAGTGAGCTCAGAATTCCGAGTCTCTGCCGATGGGTTACTCCGGTTTCAAGATAGAGTGTGTGTTACAGACAACAGTGAATTAAAGAGAGACATCATGACAGAGTCTCATATCTCGAATTTTGCCATGCTTCCAGAAATATTAGAGAACTTGGACATTTTTCCTTTACACAACAAATAGATGTGGATTCTTGAGTAATATACATAATTTGTATTGTAATGAAAGATTTCTTTATGCCCCACATAATAAGATTTTCCCATAAGAAGGAAACAAAAAAGAAAAATTGAATAAGCACCAAAATTCTACTTTCTCCCATTATTACCAACCCCCATGAACTAGTTTTTAGATACCTTGAAAAGTCCATCTGCTGTTCACTAATATTATACACAGTGGTGGATTGTTAAAAGAAACTTCACAAGAAAACTTCAAAAAACTTGTACAGTAACAGATGATGTTCATTAGATTATACATCCTCAGTCAATTACAAGCCCTTTTCAGCACCAGCAGCAAACAAATACGGAACAACTAACCATACCAAACTCTGGTTCATACTGACACCTAAATTGTTGCTATTCCTACTGGCTTGCCTGCCGGAACACCATCTTCACCATTGCCGGAGTCAGCTGCTGGAGACTTCTTCACAAGAGACTTGGGTATGTCAATATCATCCTGAGCACAACGTTGTTGAGGGTGAGATAACAACACAGACATGTAACGGAAGAGGGTTCGTGCCAGCCCCTGCCCACTCTCATGGATGTAGCCCTCGTACTCACTAACATGTTCAAGGGCATCCACGAGTGCATCATAGACCTCCTGGGGGCAGTTGTCAGGCCCAGGCTTGTCGTGGAGGTACATCACATCTAAAGTGAAGAGCTTCTGGTTTACAGGCCATTGATGTTGTGGTCTAACAGATGATCTGCAGTAGATAAGAATCTAGAGCAATATAATGTCAAATACGACTCTTAATTTTAGGACGTACAAGTACTAAAGAAATTTGAAAGCCCATGTTCAAGGTGGAGAAAAGCAAAATATACTAGAAGAAGAAAGGAGTTTGATCAACTATGTGTAATGTAGATCAAGAGAATTCCAAAGGGAACATATTTCAATACAGAGATATTTGTAACTGTTATTTTTATGTATTATTATTGTATTTAGGTTACGAGGAACTAATATCTATAGATATTTCAAAAAAAAAAAAAAGAACTAGTACCTATAGACTCATCACAGGTGTGAGTTTATCATTTCTATTTAGCTAGGATCTTATTTAGTTATTTTCTATTCTATGTTATTCTTTCAAAATCTAATTAGCTTACTGTCTTATCTAGTATAATTTCTAGATGGACTTGAATTCTAGTTTGATTATGTTTAGGTTCATAAACAGAATACTATAACTTAAAGTATTTTGTAGACTATTCATATGATTATTTTACAAATATTGAGTAATTGATTTGATTATTGAGATTCAAGATCTCTGTTTCTGGTTCTTAATAAATTTTCATCGCCTATCATGAAGCTCTCCTTGCCCTACATCATTATGACATGAAGAACAATTTGAAAAATAAATCAGATCACTTTAAACATAACTTGAAACAAACTAAATTCATTGTGGGTCTCATTAACTTGGAGAAGTGGAATAAATCATCGTCATCTGATCATTCTCTAGGATAATCAAGAGTATGCTGACTCCAACATTTGAGTGAAAGGCCATTAGTTTGCTTAGGACCAAAAAATAAATATGAACAAATAAAATGGCAGATCAAGAGAGCATCATAATTCTCACCACCCTCAAAATCCGGTTCTGTGCACGAGATTTTTTTGCTTCATGAGCTGCCAAATTGAATAGATTGGTAAGATCTGCTTGACCACAAGAGGAAGTAGCTGATAGACCTCGTAGTGCAGAAACTGCAGACTCAACATCATTGCTGAACTCCTTTCGAAGCTACAATATATCATAAACCATCAACTAATCAACAGAGAGAGAGAGAGCGACAAAGAGAGCATGGTTCATATTCTTATTTGAGCAAAGGCCATTGCACTCCACATAATCCATTGTCAAAGGGTTGATACAAACCCTCTCTAACACAAGGCATTCCTTCTCAATGTGTTGTATAATTAGGATCATATGCATAGAAAATTTATCAATCTCATGATTTGAGCAATTTATTCCCGCAGTAGAGTAGACGTGGCCAGAAACATGGAATCCTCATAAAAGAGACCTTCTAGTATTACAACTGTGATAGAATAGCAACATTTTTACCATTACAAATTGGATCTTATCAATTGTCTTTTTAAGAAACTTCACTTGCTTTTGCTGAATTGTAAAAACATAGATATAAGCAAGAAGAAAAACCAATACAGACATTGTAACCGAATTGAGAAACCCATAACAGAAGAAGTGGTAAAGCATTGACAAAAGCGTGACAAAGATTGTTAGCTTCGCACAGTTGGAGATCCTTTCTGCAATTTTCCCTATAAAAGGAACTCGCATAACAATGCAGCTTAAGTAATTAAAGAGCTAGGTTTGGATCACTTGATAAGCACGCATAACACAACAAGCATGCACTTGCCTAAACAAATAGACTGCTGAGTCCATCCAAAATCAACGCATAAAAAAGAAATTTATGCTACCTATGAAGCTCAATTCACATAAACACAGAAAAAAATAGCAAACTAGTTTATAAAATTCAGAGAAATAGTTAAACAAAAGGAAAAAGGAGAGAAGCAGAGTACCCAAGCAGCAGTTTTGGCAAGGGTGGCAAAAGCGAAGCGGTGATCGGGGTTGATGGAGAGCTTGGCGTTGATGAATAAAAGGATCGCTTGCTTGATAGAGTCCAATCTGGTGAATGGCCTTCCACTTGGTCCCGTCGTCTTCATTTCCACGAGAGACTCCGAGTCAACATCTACACAGAAGATTATGTCCTCGTTGTTTATTCTTGTTGGTTTTAGTGTATAGCGGCATGTTCCTGCTACGGTGCTCTCTCCTTCTATCCCTTCCATCTCTCTCTTTCTCTCTCCCCCTCTTTCTCTCTCCCCAGACCAACAAACGGAAGAAGACCCTCGCAGATGGTTGATGCGTGTAGATGCTTTCTGCATTTATTTGGTGCTTCTTCTAAACGGTCTCGTTTTGACGTCCGAGATGGTGGTACTTAAACGGTGTCGTTTTATGTTGTCAAGACGCGGAGAACGGTGTCGTTTTTTTTTTTTTTTTTTAAATTTTGTTTTTTTCCTTCATCAGTGTCTCGCTCTCTTCTTCCTCGCTTGGCTTCTCACGGCCCTTCTTATTCTACCAGGGAGAGAGAGAGAGAGAGAGAGAGAGAGATGGCGTGCATGCATGATCACAGTTGTGAAGATCACGATTGCTCCTCTGATTGGTCCCTCTACAAACACATTGATCTTCCCAAGGTCTCTATTTCTTTCAGTCTATCTCTGTCTCTCCACATGCTATTATCACTTTTAGGTTCTTCACTCTCTATTTACAGTTTTTCGTATCCCCAATTTTTAATAGTTTCTTTTTCTCTCTGTTGATTATTGAAAGGAAACGGGGACCTAACTGATTTTAACCTTCAACTGTTCCCATAGTGCTTTGTCAGTAAGACTTCCTAGGTTTTCTATGTTGAATCTCGTGCCTTGGTGTTCCTCTTCTAACGATTTTTGTTTTAAATCTATAAGCACTTGGTTGTTTTTACTTTGTACCCGGTATTGATCGACTAACGACGCATTGCTTTGAACTAGGTCATCTTGATTTTTGCACTGATATAAGTGGATCAAAATCCACAGTTGCTTGGTTTTTTTCTCTTTATGAAAAAAACAACATTTTTTGGTTATCTACTGCTGCTTTGTTTAGATTGATGCTTGCTGCTTTTGGTTTTGTGAGTTTGATGGAGAATAGATTTAAGGGATCATTAGTTGCCTTGTTGCTGCGTGTGCTAACTTTTGCTAACTTACTTGTGTGCAAATTTCCTCCACAGATTAACTTGGGTTTGTTGGATACTTTTCGAATGATGGACTGATAGGATGCTAGCATCTTCATTCTTAGCAGTTGAAAGATAAATGTTTTGATCTGACTTATTTGCGTCAAGTTTATGACCATTACAGAAGTAGAAATGATTATAAGGATCATATAAAGTTGACAATTGGAAACTTTTTGTACAATGACATGCATACTTGGATATTATCTATCATCTTCTATATGCCACTCATTCCTGTATTTTATCTTTCATTATTTTATCTAAGATTCTTTGGTAAAAACGTAGGTTTCCACTAGGTCTGGAAAAGGTGTAGTCTGCCACTTGCATAACTGCCACTAGTTTGTTGAATTTCTAATTTTTTATGAAGCATTTAACTATTTCATAAAATTGCTAGAGGATTTTGTTGTCTTTGTTTGTTTGTATTTTCTGCTAGGTCTTATTTTATGCATAACCACCACATGTCTCACATGGACATTTAGACACACTTGAAATGAACACAGTTATGATGTCTTTTACTGCATGGGTGATAGGGTGAGTTCAGGAACGTGTTTTTGTTTGCATTTATTCATATATTTGGATTGTGCCATAAGTGAATCTCTCTTTTTTGATTTATAGGACATCTTACTTTTTATGCATTTTTCCATCTTAATAGTTTCAGTGGATTTAATCAGATACTCTATCATATTATGAAGCATGAAAATATTGTTGTGTTATTATTGAAAGGTATCTGCTTTAAATGAGGCCATTCCGGGAAGTGTCAAGTCAGTTTTCAAAGCTTGGGAGGAGCGTCTTCTTTCTTCTGGGGTAATCTTCTTTGCTGAGAGATGTATTTGGTCTATCTAGCATTGGTCTAATTCTATCATGTGAAGAAATGTATTTTTTTTGGTTGAATTTTGTACTTCCAAGCACTATGCATGGAATGTAGATTCTTTGTTTACATGTTTGATCTATGTTTTTAGAAGTATTCTAATAACATATCGTAATTTACAGGACAACTTGGAAAGCAATGAGGGGGATCCTGAATTACTTGTTTATATTCCGTAAGTGGATATATTTCTCTCATTTGTTCCTTGTGAGTCTTTTTATTTGCAACTTGAGAAGCCGATGTTTGTTAACTAGATCCATTACTTGTAATTCTATAATTTCATAACCTTCCTTGATGCCTTATACTTAGTATACTTGATTTTTATCTCTATAATTACGTAACCTTAGAGAAATGAGATAATATGAAATTCTAAATGCTAACCAATCAAACATCTTTTTTTTGGGGGGGGCAGGGGGAAGAGAAGCGATGCAGAACAAGAAGATCCTGAAGTAAACATATTTTAATTATAAGATATATTTATGTAATTGTGATGTTTATCTATTATTAATATATTTAGCTTATTTAGGAATTAATATCTGCAAACTTATTATTCTCTTTTGAAATAAAAAGTATGGCAAGTATCATCAATATACAAACACCAAATAGGATGTCAATCCATGTACAAAAATGTTACATGTCTACTAGGATGTCAATAAGGTCCCCAAAATCTTTCATAGAATAAAGAGGATGACCTGTAACTAAAAAATCAAGGGTCTAAAACTATCTATCTTTAACCTTATCAAAATCATCTTCCACCCCTTTAAAAGCTCTTATTTTTATTTATTTTCACACCAACCCGAATATAGTAAGGGAAATCATCAAACTCACATGTTTCTTTCTACCACTAATACACTTCCAAACTGAAATCTCATCCCTTATTGTACCAACCATCTCCTAACCACCACATGCCTCACATGGACATTTAGACACACATGAACCGAAATATTCTTGTATCGTGCAATAATGAAAATTCGGAAAAACTGAACTCTGAGTGCTCCCCCTCTAAGCTAAGGGTCCTTCTCAAAGAACTCTTATGTTGAATACCATATTTTATTATTTAATTATTTAGTATTATGTAATTATGATTGTATGAGAATAATAATTTCATATTATTAGAATTCTAGTAGAATAAGAATTTCCTTACTAGTAGGTTAGGAATTATATAAATGTTATAAGTGTAACAACCTAAAGAGTGATTTTTTATTATTTAATTATTTAGTATTATGTAATTAAGATTGTATGAGAATAATAATTTCATATTATTAGAATTTTAGTAGAATAAGAATTTACTTACTAGTAGGTTAGGAATTATATAAATATTATAAGTGTAACAACCTAAAGGGTGATAAATAAAATTATTTATTTTTTCTTAAAAAATTAACATGGTATCAGAGCCAAATAAAGTTATTTTAGGGTTCTTTTCAAACCCTAAAATAGCACAACATGCTAGGTTGACACCCTTTTATCTAGATCTGCTCTTATCACCACTCAAAACATATTTGAACCCGCTAGTGTTCTGTGGTGTTTACGGTGGTTTTCACCGGCGATTCAGGCACCGGTATAAAGTGCACTGCACCTAGAGGCGTCAGTAAAAGGTGCACTGCACCCTGGAGGCGCCGGTAAAAAAGTGCAACTGCACCCTGGAAGCGCCAGTAAAAAGCTGCAGCCGCAAATTTACAGGCACCGGTAAAAAAGTGCAGCAGCACTTTCGCAAGCTCTGGTAAAAAGGTGTTTGGAGGTGTCGGTAAAACGCTGCAGCCGTACATCTACAGATGTCAGTGAAAAAGGCCGCACCATTCTATTTTTATGTGCACGTTTAGAGATCTGTCCGGAGAAGATGAGTCAAGTTGACTTCGAACTGTTTTTTGAGCCGATTTTAAGCCATTTTAGAGTCGATTTTGAGCTATTTTAGAGTCAAACCTGAGCCGTTTTAGAGCTAAGCTAAGCCCTTTTGAGCTTAGTAGTACGGTTTTGAGCCGGGTCGAGCCGTTTTGAGGCAGATTGAGCCGTTTTAAGCCAGGTCGAACCGTACCGAGTCAAGCCGTTTGACCCAAGTCGAGCACGCGTACACATTTGGCAAATTGTATAATGACTCTTCAGAACTAGGTTTGCGAATTGGGCATGTGCGATATCCCTACACCAACTTGAGAGAGAGTGTTGAATACCATATTTTATTATTTAATTAGTTAATTATTTAATTATTTAATATTATATAATTAGAATTTTATGAGAATAATAATATGATATTATTAAAATTCTAATAGAATAAGAATTTTCTTATTAATAGATTAGGGATTATATAAATGCCCTAAGTGTAACAATCTAAAGGGTAAAAAATAAAATTATTTATTTTTTCTCTAAAAATCAACAGTTTACTATTTCATATTAAGATAGGATCTTATTTAGTTAACCTCTATTATAAGTTTTTTTTTAAAGTAGTTAACCTATATTACAAGTTACTCCAATTAATTAGCTTATGTTCTCATTTGGTGCAATTCCTAGATAGATTTAAGAATTCATATTTTTATGATCTAGCACCTAGAAATAGGTTTCCGAGCTTAGTTATTTGATAAACTATTTATTTGATTATTGTACAAATATTGAGTTAGTGATTTGATCATTGAGATATAAAATTTCCAACTTTGCTTATTAAATAAATTTTTTTCTTTATATGCAAGATCTTTTTATCCTAAATTAAATCTCTTTGTTGAAGGATCTATTGACGCCTCGAGTTTTGTACATGTTAGTGATCATTGAACCAATAGAGGCAGGGTGATTTTGGTCTCTAAGCAATGAAACCTAGAAGAGAAACACAATGTTTAAGACACCTAAATAGGTGCACTGGTTTGGAATCTTTCATGAGTAGAACTAATGGAAAATACCAATTTAAATGATTAAGAAGTCACTAGTAGGGATGTTTTTGACGCTTCAGAGGACCCTCTCTCTCTTGTTTCTTCTTTATTTGGAAGAAGAACTTGAAAATGATTACTTTTTTCACTTGGGTTTGACTTGGAGGACACCATGGATAGGAGGTGAATAGCACGGGTGATGCTCTAGATACAGATAAGGATGAATCTGGTCTGGTCCAGGTGGAAGGGCAGGATGGATGTCTTTTCTCTTCAACCAATAGGTTTCTGGTTAGGAAGATAGGATTGCAGTTATGGAGCAGATTTTGGAAACAAAGATATTAAATCCTGTATCTAAATAGAACCTTTTATCTTCGGAATGAGTGGATCTTCCATTTAATCTTGACACTATATCTTCGTGCTCTAACCCTACAATAACTATGTCACTCTTAAATCCCTTAGTTTAACCTTTGATAATTTTTTATGCGGTGAATGTAATAATCTCAGCCTTAATAGATTAATAGAAGATCCTTTAGTCTATGGGGGATTTAGGGACAGATGGTTCCAGACCCTCAGTTTTTTTGTTATTGGGTCATGCTCTTTGCTTTATCAAAGATTTAGGAAACCTCATTGATATTTTGGGAGATATATAAACAATTGTATATGGGGTGCCCCCCCCTTGTGCTGTTAATAAAGTACTTATTAACTTTGTATTTGAAAAAAAAAAAAGAAAAAAAACGAAAGAATCCTTTAGTACTCCTACTGTGGATATGTTTTACCGTCTTTCTACCCTTGTTGTGAGTTATCAAATACATGTGAGGCCCACCACATCTGTTCTTTCAATTAAGCAAGGGAATTATAATGAGGACATGAGCAAGATTAAGGAACTTGGGTTTAGGCTTGTGGATCCCTTGGGAAAGACAGTGAAAGTGAAGGTCTCCCTAAGACCTATATGAGGAAGAAAAAACACACTGACCTCGAATGTAATAGGTTAGCCTCTATTATTCATTATGGGTATTTAAAGGGTAGGCAGGGTAATTTTTTTCTCAATGAATGTTATAAATTGGAATTTTAATGGGTTGGTTAATGCTCAAATGCGAAAAGTTTAGGAAGATAATTGTTGGAGTGCTGTGAATATTTTTATGTTTTAAGAGATCAAGAGGGTATTCTTGATTCAATGGGGGTTTGCAGTGTTTGGGAATCTAGATTTAAGAGTTGGTATTGGAATTCTTCCTGTGGGGCTTCAAACAGCAACATGATTATGTGGGATCCTAGGGAAGCATCTCTTATAGATTCCATCAAGGGTTTCTTTCTACTTTGGTGATTTTGGACATTAGAGGTAAGCTTTCTTAATGATTCTCATGTGTTTATGGCCCCAAATATCCCAAGCTTCAGAAATTAGAGGTTAGAGCATCCTTTTGATGAGGATAAATTCGAAGAGCAGTATGGGGGCTCAGTGTCTGTAGGACTCTTGGAGTGGATCCTTTTCTATGGCCTTCTTATGGTGCACCAGGATGTAATTAAGGCAGATTCAGTTTAGGTTTTTGAGGGATTTCACCTAAATGGTAAGATTGGAATTAGCATAAGTTCTTCCTTTATTACCTATAGTCCCCAAAAGAAGCTTTTTGACTATAGGCGCATCAGCTTGATTGCTAGTGTCTATAAGTTAATGAAGTGCTCTCTTTGAGATTGAGGCAGGAGCTTGATGATACTATCTCCGTGCACCAGAGTTTTTTTTTTTTTTATGTGGAGGAAGACGTATTCTCAATGCTGCATTCATTGTTAATTAGGTGATGGACGAAGATAGTAGGCCAAGATATAAATGTGTACTTTTAAATTGGATTTAGAGAAGTCTTATACTGATGAATTTGGTTTCCCAAATAAGGTGTTGCATAGAAAAGGTCTTGATGCCAGGTGGAGTTTCTTTTGCTGTTATGGTGAAGGGAAGGCTAGAACTTGGTTTTGGGGGCAGTTTCATTTTAGGAAAAGAATCCTCTTTCTCTCATTCTCTTTATGATGTGGTTGATGTTTTGAGTCATATGTTATCTTATTCCACAGACAGGTATAACGAAGGGACTTACCATGGGGCCTGAAAATGTATTATAAAGTCTGTCATCTCCAGTTTGTTGTTGATGACGAGATCCTTTTTTCATTAAGCAATCATGAAAATTTTGGTAATGTTCTTACCATTTTGCATTTGTTTGAGAGTATTTCAGGCCTACATATAAACATCAGCAAGAATGGTTAGGTAGCAATCGCTGTGGAGGAGTAATTGGTTGTTGGCTAAGTTGGTAGGTTGTGATCTCAGGCTATTTCCTACCATGGGATCTCTAAGCTTCTTGAGGTGTTGAGTATGTACAAAATATTTACATATCAATCAAAAAAACCTAGACTTTGGAGCCAACTATCTTTGACATCCTATCATATTTCACTTCCATGCCTTCGAAAGCTTCTATGTTTCTTTCTTTTCACGCCACCCAAAAAGTAGTAAGGGGAATAAGACTAACATGCTTCTTCACACCACTTATTCCTTTTCATGCCAAATTTCCTTCCTCACCAAGTCAGCCGGCACCCAATTAATACCCAAGAGGCTAAAGACAAAGGGACACCACAGTAGGATATGGTTGCATGACTCCACGTCCCTTTTGCACAAAAACAACTATTTACTAGAATCCTGCCCCTCCTAATTAGCTTGTCTGGAGTTAAACTACATCCCTTAGCTACCTCTCGAACAAAAAAAGCCACTCTGGGCAATGAATTCACTTTCCAAATTTGCTTGGATTGAAAGTCATTGCCGGTAGTCTCTCTTTTCATCAAATGGTTGTAGGACCTAACAAATATCTCTCTAGCATTGAGCCTCCAAATGGGGTGATCTCCGGTACTATCAAGTCTAACCTTAGCAAGAGCGAGAAGTAAAGCCTCATACTCCCTTCCCAATCATTGAGGTTCCTTGTGACTTCCACAAACCACTCCCCATTCCCCATAGTACCAAGATAAGACTCTTGGAGCAAAGCATTCTTGTAACAAGCAATACCATAGATATAGGGGAACTGGGCTTTGAGTGTGCCCTCCTCCAACCAGGTATCATGCCACAGACTGACCTCATCCCAGTGCCCATCCTGCAGCTAATACAATTATGGAACCTCCTTTTATCCATGCAAATTTTCTTCAACATCCCGTTACTATGGGGTCTAGACAAATCCCTTGTGAACCATCCTCTATCCACAGTACCAAGTTTCGCTTCAATCACCCTCCACCAGATACTCTCATTCTCATTCATGAATCTCCAAAGTCATTTCCCTTGAAGAGTCATATCAACTTCATTCATGTTGGATTGGTAGAAACATAAAATCTAGCTTACATTTTTTTTTCTCTGTCAAAACAAAAAACATTTCTTGTATGATATTTTATATGATAGCTTTTGTTGTTTCCTTGAAAACAGTTTTTGAGCTTCCCCATCACCTTAAATAGCCTCCTGATCTCCCTAAGATCCTTCAATTTGAGTTATACCAATGAGTCAAAGGAAGCTCCTGGTTTTGGCTCAAGCTTTTCTCATAAGTGAGGGGGCAAGCATGGACCTACCTGCTTCATTTTAAAGGTTTAATTTTACCAAATAAGAATATGCAGGCACTTCAAATCAATTACTTTAAATAGCTACTTTGAGCATCCATGAATAACATGGTCAAACTTCAAAATCAAGAGGGAAAAGTTGAGATTATGAAAAGTTGATTTGAGTTGAAATTGGACAAACTTTAAAGTTGTAAGGCTGACCCTGTAGTTTACTGAAAAAGCATACTTTTTTACAGGAATAGTTCTTTTCAAGTTACTAATCTCTTGGAAAGATTTTTGCAGATTCACCTCAGATGTTAAGATCAAGGGCATATCAATTATTGGAGGTGCTAACGGAACAAGTCCTTCCAAGATGAGAGCGTAAGATTGAATAACTAATAAAGAACTAGTGGAGGGTTTTTTTTTTAAATATCTTTTTTCCAATCTATCTTCCTTTGTAAGAAGAATCAAACTTCCTTCAATTTATCCAACACAGATTCATCAACCGGGAGGGCATTGACTTCTCTGATGCTCAAAGCATGCAGGCTGTCCAGGTATCACCTCAACTTGGTCTATAAAAAAATTTCTCTATTAAAGAATCCTACAAAGTTGCTTGATCTCATATGTATTGATATTTTGTTTCAGGAGTGGGATTTGGTTGAAAATTTTCAAGGAGTATTGGAATACCAGACAAGGTATTGATTTCCTTTATTTAGAGGACTTCTCTTTGGCCCAATCCTATTTTATTAGACTTCGGAATTCATTCCTTTTGATAGCAATATACTTCTGAAGCTGATCCATGATGAGAACTCATAAATTGTTTCATTCAATTTGTTTTTCATCTCAGTCTGAATTATTCAAATCGTGTTTCATTAGTTGTTAGCTTCAACTTTCTTATGTTTTGTTAATCTTTCCATCAAGATATTCAAAGTTTCAGAGTGTTGCAAATATCACACTGCACTTTCCTGAGAGTTTTGGTGGTGATACTACTCAGATACAGTACATTGGATTTAAAGGTGAAGCTACCAAGGTACTTTCAATTTAGTTTTTTTTAAATAACAATTTAGTTTAATATTTCTGTATGTCTCTTGTATTCTCATGATAAAGAATATATAAAATGAAGTATTATTTTTTATTGGCCATAACTAACAGTTGAAACGGGATGTTGTCGCAACAATTGTTTATGAGATCACACCGAATCCTTCTGACCATAAGTAAGTCTTACTTTCTCCCATGCATTATTTAGACGAATAGATTTCTTTTAAAGCAGTGTTGATTCCTCCTGTTTGCTTAATATCCAATTCGTTTCACTTTTTGTAAATCTACGGCAACCACTATTTTATTTCTAGGCTTGAATATGGCCCTTACAGAAGGCAATACGATATTTAATTGCTAACTGGCGGCCTTTATCCTGTGTAGGGTCACAGTTGTTAGAGTAGCTGTTGAAAATAATATAATTTATGAATCAAAATCAAATTAATTGCACACCTCAAAATCAGAGTGGAACTCTCAATATCAAGGGAGGATTTGGATAAAGATGGGTTTAGACAGTTTTAGAAGATGGCTTGGGGAGTTAGTAATTTTTTTGAGGGGGAAAAACTCGGAGCTGTAAATAGTAATTATTTCTCATTCTGATGTATCTCATCAACATATTACAAGAAAGCAATATAATATTGCAGTACTACTGATCTCATAGGCAATTCTTGATCAATCATTGATTCTGATGAGATGGTTGATGATATTCCAAGAATTCTATCTCAATGGTTATTTTTTGCTGGTATATTCTATTCTCACTGCCCTTCTACAGAAGAGATTACAGTCTGTAGGCCTAATAATATTTTGACTAGCACTTTTAAGAAAATCACTAGGTTGCTGTATGAGAGATTGGGAGATCTTTTCATGTTGGAGGTAGTTTGCCACAACAAAGGTCTCGATGTGTCCCTTTTGCCTAATAAGTTTTGAGGATTAAGGAGGTAAAAGAGGAAAGACATGGTTTTTAAAGATTATAGTTGACTGAGTTGGGATGTTTTGAATACTTCATTAATAGAAAATGTTTTGGCAATAGGTGGAGAAATTGGATGAGTGGTGGTTTTTCTACAATGAACATTTTGTTAGTAATTAATGACCAACTAGATCCTGGTTTAGAAGGCAATGTAAGGTCAGGCTAGGATACTTTTTATGCCCTTTTCCATTCACCTTGTTGTTGATGTCCTTGGTTTAAAAAGCTCTATCAGGTTAGGCTAGGTGGAGAAATCTCACTTATTTAACTGTATGGTGATGAGAGTTCTACCTAAAGTAGTAAAAATTTAGTTCATATAGAATTATATGTAGAATTGAAATAAGAAATTCGAAATTCTACAAAAATTGCAATATCGTCTAATTGAATAAAGTGATTTACAAATGAATTTCCTAACATTTTTTGGATTTATTATAAACTAGCCTTAAGTATGGATTGTCTGACAAATTCAGAAAAGATTCTTGTTTTATACCCAAACATATAATCAGTGTTATAGTTAAGTTGAAC